GATACTCTTCTGTCTTCCGCTCTGTAACTTCTAAATTATCATAAGATTTAATGTTGATATTAATGACTACTCTTTTCTTAAATAGGCCCCACTCCTCTTACGTTACCCGAGACCGGCCGTTTTAATTAACTGCTAGTAAAATTTCGATAGTAATAAGTGCACTTCCTATTGTATTCGCTAATTTACCAGCGGAATTCTGAGCAAAATGCTGGTAAGTTTAGCTGAAAGCAATTTATTCTGGATTATTTTGTTTTTCGGGTGTTAAGCCGTGCTGCCATCTGTCGTCGCTGTGGCAAAGATAAGAAGGAAGTACTTTAGCAAAGGCACGTGAATAGAAGCGCGGACTATTAATACCGGATGCTAAACGTCATATACCTGAAGAGGTCAACAGTTGAATCAAACTTGGTACTGGCTAATTAGTTTACTACAATGGAGGAAAATTAATTACCGGCCCGATAATATCGCAGGCAGTTAGATAAAGCTCGAAAATAGCATTTGCAATAGGGAAACTCCGAGCATTCTAAGGGGGAGAAAGTTTCTCCAAGTTGTTAACAGCCGTTTATACATTTAAAATTGACAAGATAACGATGCCACGTACCAAAATAGCAGGAGTAAATGAGAAGAAAACAAAATAACTACGATAATTACCACATTTCTAAGTCCAAACAAGAAAAAAATAAACCAAAACTCACTTTAAGTAAGTTATATCAATGGAATAAACAGACTTAAATAAGTTTTTCTCCACCGATAACAATCAGCTAATTACCATTATATATATATATATTTTTTAAGTTAATATCAATTAAATTCAGATTACATATTTACCAAAAAAGGGAGAAATTAATAACAGAAATAATTGTTTAAATAACAATTTAGGATTGCTTAAAGAGTGAAGGAAAAAAGATCGATTAAAATCAAACTGACAAGAGAGACTTAAAGATAATTAAGAAGACTTATTCTGTTAATCCTTATTCATATTTAATCAATTTTCACAAATCTTTCTTTCCTTATTAGTCTCAACGTCGTTCCAATTAGTGTGGAAAATAGAAAGAAACGTAATTTATCAGATTTGTTTGTCGACTATCTGATTCTGACTAAACTCACTCGATAAATTGTAATTTGATAAAGTAACAATTACCGCCTATCTGCAAAATCCTCATTATACATTTAGGAAGGAGTAAACCGATTCCTTCTCGCTTCTTCCTGTCCTTTAAGGTGTTTGAATTAAATCCGAGATTGTAAAATTGTTTCTCCATTTTTATTTTTCTTCCACGTTCAGGTGTTGAGAATTGGAGCGTGTGACAATCGATTTACTCGTACGAAAATGTAAACTCCGTTTCTATCGTCGCTCAAACTTATTTTTATCATCGAAGATTGAACGTAGCTCTTGATTTCGAGTGTTTATAAATATAAAAGAACATCCCATCTGGGGGGAGGCTGTAAATATATTTTTACAACACCGAAATAAAGAAGAAAATCGCTGGTTTATAGGGGATGCAGTTTCGAATTATAACAGCATCTGAATACAAACTCATCAATCATCAGACTCGAAACGAAGATGACTACCCACCTATCAACCCGGAAATGAGATGGGGATTCCCACTTCCTCTCAAAAACTGCTTCTCGTTCCTCTCTTCTGTAAACTGTACAGGAATATATATGTATATATATATATACAGCTTAAATAATTCGGATAACGAGAAAAATGTTTTAAAGAAGTTGTGGAGAGAGAGAAAGAGCCTGGAGGCTGTGGCTGTTTTATGGAGGGTGACGAGGCTGATCAATGCAACTGTAGAAAAGTTTTAAAATTAATAAAATTGTTTAGAAATTCGCAAGGTGACTGCTTTGTTATTCAACAGACCATCACGTATGATTTCATTGAGGTTTTGGTATGTGGATATTAAAATTCTCATTTTAACATTCCAATGATTCTCTCGTAGCTAAAGATTCTCGTCTACACATCGTAAAATTACAAATGATTACAGTTTGTAAGTAATAACGACATTAGATAGTTGTGTTTTAATGACGTAGAAAGATTGCGCGTTTTATGAACTGCATACTTGTAAAATAACGCCGACTATAAAACTTTGATAGATTCTTCTCCTCCTTAATGGACGTTCTGTGATTTAAGAACCCCTTTAAAAACACACACACACAAACTCGCGGGGTTTTTCCAACTTTTTTCCTGGGTTATAAATAATTATCGTTTACGGCCGGGGCCAGAAGATGTCGCGCCGTGTCTCCTTCCGGCGCTTACGTCCGTAACTGTGACGTAAATAAAAATACACCCCTCCCCTCCCGATACGGTAATTGGATTACGCTCCCTCTAACGACGCCTTTCGGTACTAGGAATGGGTGAGTTAAATCGATTTGCCATTCCGTAATCATGGAAAGATGTTAATGTAAAAAATGACCTTCTAAACTTACTTTTTTAATTCTCCAGATATAAATCTTACTATTTTGATCTAATGGTAGTTTTTTCAATTATTTTGTCATTTTGGGGCAAAATAAATGTTGCTCCCAACTTATACATTTTCTCGGAATATTCCATCCTGTTTTAGGAAAGTCGAGAAGGGGGGAAATGGCTTTAAAAAGACCAGAAAAATAAAAAGAAAAGGGAGGAAGGCGAGTTGGCTCCGAATTAAATAAAAGTAACCGTGCAATAAAACGCATATTAATCACATTTAATCGGCGCCATAAATTTTTATGAATAGCGAGAGTAACGAGCTTCTCTACAATATATTTGTATAACTTTATTAATTATGTATCTAATTCTAATTTACATATTTGTCTAGACACGCGCTCGATACCGACGACGTTTAATTTATTTTAATGGAGAAAATATTATATTATCGGAGCTTGGCCTATACATTTTAAAAAGGTCCTTTCTATAAGCCATTTTCTCTCGGATAAATTGATCATTTTGGCTTTAGAATTCGTTTTAAAATTCGAGATTTCACGTCCCGAAACCTTCTTTCGACGTTCCTGGTAAGCGGTTAATTCCGAAATTCTTCTGTCAGGTGGAAACGAAAGGGACGTTTCTCATATTTAACAATTAATAACGTGTTCCTAATTAACCCCCCTTTTTTAATTAACTCTTTATAATGACTTTTTGTTGGGTTAAATCTTTAAAAAACATTTTTTTTCTTCTTTATTAATTATAATCTATCTTCGTACCGATCTAACCGATTTTTTCCTTTAATTTCGTATCGCTTGGAATGAAATATAAACAAGCAAAAAATTAAGAAAGAGAAAAAAAAACCCCACGCGAACTTTTAGTTATATTTTTTCTTATCAGATGGCGCTACGTGCGGGGTATTTATTTATTAATTACCCTTTATTTATTTATTTTCTGATTGGCGGAGGAGGAGGCAATCTGGAAAATAACACGGGGAATAAGAATTTAAAGCGTATTCTCTCGGAATAGAGACTTGTGTGACGTTTGTTTAACGGATAAAGAAGGCGAACGGTCCGAGACGAAGGGGGGAGAGAGACGTCAGAATGCGTGTTGGAAGTCGTAAATCGTCGGAACCGATGTCGAAAGAAGCGGTTTACATTTCACTTCATATTAAAGGAGTTTGTATCCTCTTTTAACTCGAATTATAAAGATATTATCGTGATATCGACAAATCGTATAAGCCTTTGGCGCAAACAGTTTTCTCGCGCATTACCATAAAATTAGCATAACAAATCACGCCCGGTCCATCTTAATTGGTTATTTGACTATATCATTCTTCGCCTTCTTGTCAGATTAATTTCTTTCTTTCTTTCCCCCCCTTCTCCCTTCCTTTTGCATATTATGTAAATTCTTCCTCTGTCCAATCTTCATCTGGCGACATTTTTACAATTAATGCCCAGCGCCAGATGTTCTTCATAATTTAAGAGCGAAAATTGATTCGAGTTTTCTACCTCCGTTTGATTGTTTGTTGTAAAAAATACTTTCGGAACAATTTCCTTTCACTTTTTTCTTCTTCCTCCTTTTCTCTTTCGCTTCCACTTTTTTCCCCTCCTTCTTCTTCCCTTCTTTAACCATTCTTTGTTTGTTAATCAATAAGTAATTTCTTAGTTTCTTAACTTTTAAGAATCGAGCCGAGCTTCATCGATCCCCAAATTGTTTCCAGATCACAATGATTGGCAGCTGCATATTTTAACTTTTGTCTTCCTTTGTAATTAATAGGATGAAGCATTAAAAAAAAGAGAATTTTTGGACCATTCCATTCCTTTGCATCGTGCTCCAAAAAGAACAATCCATCAGATAATTACCACCAGATAATTCCCTTAAACTAGAAACTATCCCTGTATTATCAATGGTGGGGGTGGTGGGATTATTAATCTGGAAAAAAAAATCTTTTCCAACGCCACCATTAAAGACAATCGGGTTGCTTATAGTGGGATGGTAGCCTATTGTATACCGCGGCTCGGGAGGGGTATCAAACGCCATTTCAGAGATTACTTCATAAAAATTGCACGCGAGAAACACCCGAAATGTTTGCCCCTACCTTAAATGGAAAAATATCGTCCTTATTTTTAGGTTACGCGTCCGGGTAACTGCCACTTGTAGCATGGAAACGGGCAATCTTTACCCCGCATTAATTTTGTAGTTTCGATAGAAAAATAACTTTTCCGAATGGAAAATCTAATCGAGTTTCTTACAGAAATCTTCTTTATGTCGAATAATAAAATATTCCGCTTGTTTATCCAATTTCTTCCCCCCTACCGCTCTTACTAAAGGAGAGCATCCCGTTTCGCTTTCTAAATCAAAAAATGTTTTTTGTTTCCTCCCTTTATTTTTTTATTGATGATAAAATCTAGAAAACATTCAAATCGCTCCTCTAATGGAGAATTCCGATCAAAGGTGTAGCGACACAAATTCCGACACGCGGAAAAAAGGGGGAGGAGGAGGAGGAGGAGGAGGAGGAGGAGGAAAAAACAGAAGAGAAAAACCCGTTTGTCAAAGATGGGTTGGATTCGGTAGGGGAAAACAAAGCGAAGAATTTTTATTTCTTACGAAAATAATGTTTTTATTTTATTTAAACTTATTTAAAAGTCTATACAAAGCGAGAAGAACACGAAAGTCACGTAACGTGCTGCTCCAATTTCCTTATAACAGGTGGGAAGTCTAGTAAATGGGATTTGTGTGATCTATGAGAATTTGCTTTTTTACTTTTGATATCTTTCATTTTCAGCGGTGTTTTCTGACTCGTTACTCCCTTCTTCTTTTCCTCCACCCCGCTGAAGTCGTTCTCCTTCAGTTTTCTAGTCCAAACGTTAGTTAAGTCGTTAATGGCTCGATTACTAAAGTTACGTTCGTTGGTTGCCGGATCCTGAGAAGTTCTCAACTTTTCCAGTTCTAAAGATAATTGTTTTATCATCCTGTCCTTCTCTTCTAACTGACTGTTTATCCTAGTTTGTTCCTGCCTCAGTTCCCCCTCCAGACACATTAATTGAGTGACTATAGCTTGCATGTCTGTGTCTTTCTGTAGTAAAATTCTTTTTAATTGGTCCTCTTTCTCTTCCGCTTTTCTTTTCCAACTGGTAATTGTCTGTTGAGTTCGAACCGATTGGTTCTTCAGTTGCAACTTTAATTGTCTCACTTCTCTCTCTCTCATCATTAATCGGGTTGTCAGTCGAAGAATTTCCGCTTCCATCTTACAAAAAAGAAAAAGGCCAGCTTCAATATAGAGAAAAAATAAAATAAATACAATAATAAATTAAAATAGTTTCAGTTGGTGTAAATAGATTTGCGGCTTCAAAGGCCATTATTTTAATTCGGTCGTTAATCTTTAACAATTGAAGTTATCGAGAAATGCTGTTGATCACGTACGACTGCAAGCAATAACCATGCTTGGAGAATTTCGCGCGCGCGCAAGCCTCTACTTTAGACCTTTAACCTTTAGGTAAAGCGTGGGTGACTCCAAACAGGAGGGTTGCGCAATTTTTTCAACAGAATTTTTCGCTTTATAACTACATAAAACTTAATCATTACAATCGTTTTACGCTGTTTTGCTCTTAACTAGTTTCACCTTCCAACAAAAGAAGGCGAAACAGGAAGGAAACATTAGAAAGGAGACATTCCCATACTTGAGTAAATGCGCGTGAAGCCACAGCCGCAGTCTCTTGACCCCTTCGGAGGGGTTCCGTTTTCATTTTTGTAAGCGAAAATCTTCGATATTTATACAGCAAATTTAAAAAAAATAATAGTAAACCGGTTAGGCCAACATCTGCCACGGGCCCGTGGCCATCTTCTAATCTTTCTTCCTCACCGTCCGATGCACGGATCCAACAAAATCCCAATACCGATGACATCATTTGTGATGCGTCATTTAGAAAACAATCGATAGAATAAACATAAGGTTCATTTTTGTTCTCGGACGGGGAAGATTGATGAAGATCATATCGACACTCCTCCAAACCCCCCACGAATTAATTAAAGACAGTAGACTCGGCCGTCTACCAACAGTTGTTAAATGAGCCAAAAACGTTCACTCAGAAAACGTTAAACTTCCAAATAACAGGAGCTAAAGACGTCAAACTTCGCTCCCTTTGTTTGCAGGAGCCAAGAATTACGCAACCTCGCCTCAGTGTTGTAACGTTAATTAAAGAAAAACCCATTTTAAAAGCGTAACTTACCTCCCAAGCGGGTCGAGACGTGTCTTCCGCCCAAAAATTTATCGACATTTTTTTTTCTTCTTTCTTGTTCTTCGCGAGGGCCTCTCAACAGAAATCGAACATGTTAACTTAATTTTTAATGAATAGGAGAGGAGATAACAGTCGTTGTGAGGTCTGCGCCGACTCTACTTATACACAACTGTCTCACATACCGAATCAAGGTAATAGAAGTGGGCAGCTAGGCGACAGGTTGCATACCTGAGGCCGTCACCCCTGCGCAAACTGCGAGTGCGCAAGTGTGTCGTCTGTTAGATTGCCACCGACGTAAGCCCGATCACGAACGATTAAACTGGTCAATCCGTGGATCGATCCAATCGAATTAGAATTTCGTTGAAATTTCCCCACCGCATCCGGTTTCTGTGCGTGTGAAGATACTGGAAAACCGGTAAAATTTACAATGCACGCCATCGAACTCGCCGTCGATCTTATTAACCATCAAAGTGCTAAACGATCAAACTCGGTTAACCAGAATGCGAGCAGCGAATTAACTGGACCCGTTTGTGAACTAGACCCGTATTTTCTTAACAAATAACATTAATGCGACCTCGGACGACAGGAAAAACATTTAGTGTGGGGACAAACTTACCTAAAAATATAATAAACCGACCCCGGTCCGTATTTAGGTATTGTTTTTCTGAAGATGCCCACACGATCGATGAATATTAATTGTATAAATTTCTAATTTTTTTCTACAAGAATATCGAATTTTTAGTTTCCAAATGCACATTTCTAACTCGATGTAAACACATACTGTATATACATGAGATTAGATACGACGGTCCTAAAACTGTCTAAATAAGCATTTATTTCGACATCAATCATCCCTGGCTTCCTTTACTCCATGCTTGTTTAACATAATAGAGCAAAGATCAATAACAAATTGATTCTTTTCCATTGTTTTGGAGTACAAACAATTCCAGAAACATCTTCAGAAAATAATTTCAGAAACATTTAAAGCTGCTCACACAAGCTTGGATTTTCATTTATTATCACTCGACCATGGCATAAAAAAATAAAACTTCGTGGAGAAAAAACGCTTCCTACTCCATAATAATTAACCAATTTCAGTTTTTATTCTTTTATACCAGCCATTTTTTTAAGATGAAGGATATAAACTGTACTTCAGCTTCCTGGAAGCCCATTGAAATTTATTTTCTCTAAAACTTCTATCGATTTCCTAAATACACGAGGATTCAAACAGAATTTTAAAGACGTCAACATGGATATGAATGATATCGAGGATTAGTCTCGCCTATAACAAAACAGGTCCTCTCGAACCGGTCTGGCTGTTACACTTGAGGAGGGATGGTTTACAGGTGGAAAGGTCGCTTCCTGTGTCCGCTTTCAACCAAAAATTGACGGGTTTTAAGTGGTCTAGACCAGATTGGTCAACATGACCGAGTTCAATGGTTTCTGTGGGTTGTCTGCTGTGTCGAATGCTTATCTAGATCATGTTCTTCGTTCTTAACAGGATTTTCTCTGGTGAATTAAACTCTTTTTTCGTACGGACGATAAATAATAATCCATCTTTTTTCCCCCATTATGACGCCAATTACGCAAATGAAGCGCCATTACTATATCTATTTTATGCTTATCTTAATCTATTAATTATCTATATCGAATGATGTTTTATGGCACACAACAAATATTGATAGAGTTAAAGTATGTTTTTCCGGGTTGCTTCCTAGTCTCGAGAGGGATTATTTTGCATTGCAGATTGTTTCTTATCTATTTAAGACAATGGATAGATGTTTCGTGTACAATTTAACTCTCTTGTTTACAATTAAATCTTATTTTGTTTTTAATGTTCCTGCTAATCATACGATGGGTGATTTTTCTTTCTGTTGCAATTCCCATCACACAGGTCGTGCGAACCTTCCCTTCGGTCCACGAATTGAGGAAATAATTCTAAAACAGTATACTCAATGAGAATGGAGTATTCGGAAACAGGTTCTGAACATGTCTGACATGCTAATCCATAACTGATTGCTGTATTTGCATTACTTCCATGAATTAGTAACGGATGCGGGATGGGATGTTAATTCTCTCGACTTTATGCCCGATCTTACCACCTGTTTGAGAACCATCGCATCTGTATTTTTATTATTATTATTGTGTTGCGTGAGATTTAAATTTTGTTTCCTGTTTTAATAGGGAATTTTAAATTTAAAAAAAGGCTCCAGACGGTGATGCAATGCATGAATTTGAGTCACGCCATTAATTTCTTTTGTTTATTAGTAGATTATTATTCGTTAAATGAAATTCTTATGGTTTAATGAAAGGTAATCGCAGAGCATTTTTGTTCGTTGACAGCAAATTTAATGTGGAAGACAGAAAATATTACAAGTTCAAGTGGAATAAATCTAAATTGACCTGTAACAAAAGTCAGAATATAGGCCTCTGCATTTTTCGAATTGTTTGCTTGGAGCTAAAATAGTTTTATTGGCAGTTAATATTAGCGCAGTCCCCATTTTACTGCATTCAATTATTATTTACATTTGAAATTTATTATTTTTAAAAATTAACACAGTAAAATAAGTAATAAAAATTAAATTAGTAATTTTATTAATTAATTATTAGCTATGGATATTTTTATGTAAACAAAAATTTTATATTTTAGTATGAATTTTTGTTTTTTAAATATTGAAAATACAAACAAAATTTTTATTGGAAAATTTATAAATTATCAAGAATGTAAACAAATTATTAGTAATATTCTTTCTTCACTTATCAACAATTAATGTAAACTGAATAAATATTGTTTAAATTTTATGAATTATTAATCAATTTGCTTTTAATTTCAATAATTTTTATAGGCATACATAAATAGTTTATGTTAATATGTATACAATTTGTAATATTGTTAACTTTATGTTCTAAAAAAGATTATTTTAATGATTTCAAGTGCTTATAAATGTTGCAACACAAAGAAGAATTAGGATACATTTCATTAACCTAGCAATTCTTCTTATTGTTCTTAGTGAAGTGGTAACAACCCAATTTGACATGTGTGTTGGGTTAAACTGCACATACGTTGTAGGTACGCAGGTATTTTGTATTCTATATATAGAAAAAGTAGCTTATTTCTATCATTTACAAGTGATGCATCAAATATATGTGGGCCGGACTTGTCTCGGGACCCATAGTTCGGGCACTGCTACCTTAGGGCATTATTATTAATCATTAATCGCCAATCAAAAATTAATTATAAAATTTTAATTACCAACATTCTACATTCATTAAGAAATAAAATGTCTGTAAAACTGATCTTAAGTAGCTGTTTGAATGAATAATAATATTTAATTAAAATTAAATATTTAAGAGAGCTTTCAAATAATGTGCTGTAATCAGATATATTGCAATGGCAATTATAAAATTGAGGCAAAGTTTTAAATAAAAATTAATTAGTATAACTAAATTTGTACGCAATGTTAACAAATTCTTTCTGAAAATCACATTTCACTAAGAAATTTCTTACGAAAGTATAAAGTTTCTATAAAATATGCAAATATTTTCAAATATTTGAATATTTGATACACTTGAATTATTTAATAATATATGCGGTTTACTGACTATTATTTGAAATTTTAAATGGGAAATATTTTAATAATGATTGGCTATTGATAACTTAGTTCAGTATTCAAATTTAAAAAGTGTTAATCGTAATTGGTTGGCGATATGTTTTTCTTAACGCCGATTGGTTGATAATATGTTTATCTCATCGATTTTAGTAATATNTTATTTTTTATTGTAAATCTATTTATTCTTTCATTATAATCAAATTTAGGAATATCCAAATTAGAAAAAAAATTAGAAAAAAATATAGCATTTAACACTAAATGAAACAACTCCAATTTAACTGCTGAAGAGTCATTGACTTCTGCTTTCATGGAGTTCAAAGTCATTTTTATTATAGTTATTATCTGATGCAATTTCTTAAGATACAAGTTTGTGAACTGCAGGTTTTAGGCTTGTCACATCAAATCACAATTAAATTAGTATAAAATGCCTTAATACTACCTTAAATCTTAATCTAAAGTAAATAAAATAAAAATCTTAAAAACATTTTTCAATACATTATTTAATTTAGTCAACTTACTTGCCAACTGTACATGAAAATGACTCTGAAATGGTCTCATTGCAAGAAGTTCACCTTGAATTCTTTCTTTGAAACCAGGAATACAAACACATCCACCAGTTAGAAAAACGTTCTGGAATTCCAACAATTTAATTAAAAATTTCCTAAAGTTAGTTTATATATATATGATAAACACAACATAATAAATTAAATGATTTTTTAATTATTTACTTGAACCAAATCTAATTGTGTCTGATGAGAATAACAAGACAAAACCATTTCTAATGTTTCTGCGATTCCTGCTTGGTCTATGCCAATTATTGAAGGTTGAAAAAATATTTCTGGTATTCTAAAAAGATTTTTAAAATAAAATGCATTTAAAATTAATATTAAAATAAAATTAATTATAGATTTCGATCATTTGTTCTTATCTTCTAACAAAATGAATACCTTATCTGTTCGATTCCCAAGTGCAGTTGATAATAATCTGCCAAACTAAAGCTTAAACTGGATTCTGTGCCAGTAAAAGGTTTCCTATAAAAATAATTTAAACTAATTTATCAAGATAACAAGCATAAAATGTTATTTTTAACATATCATTAAAGAATTTTGAATTTATTTAAATAATGATAAATAAAAGTTCAGAATTTTAAGGCATAGAATTTAATTATTATTTCTTTTTACTTATCAATAATCTTTCTTTGAAACAATTCAAATTTTTCCAAAGAATTAATCATCTTTTATAATTCAAACATAAAAGTAATTTTATCTTATAATTTATAGTCATGTCATTTTTATAATTTTTCCCAATAAATATTATTTTATGATATTAAATAAATTTTATAAGAATTATAATAGTGTCTTCCAAAAAGAATGCTACTATTTTAAATTATTATCTGAAACCATTGTAATGTACAGTACTGTACATTAAAACATCAGAAAACTGCCCAAGTTCCGCACCTGTCCATTATGATTTCTCAAAGTGTGCAGAACTTCATCTCATGTCATGCAGAACACATTTGACTGATACTCTAATTCTTCTTATATTCACTACAGCATATCCATTGTCCCTCCTCCCACAACAGCCATAATTCTACAGCTCCTGCAGATTACTTGTGTTGCACAACTTTACAAACTGCAGAACCCAAAACACCTCTATTTTAGAGTTACCATTTTCATTTATGGGGTTTTGTAGCGATAGACAGGCAATGTTTGGATGCAGATGGAAGATGAAATTCTGACAGTTACTCTATAGATTGGTGTACATCGTATACTACTCAGATAATTACAATAATTTAAAATGGTAGCATTCTTTTTGGAAGACCATGTGTAATGAATCTACATCACTTTAATTTTATTTTGATTTTGGAACATACCGATTAAATTCCCTGTCATATTCTCTTATTATTATTTCTAGTTCTTGAATTTTTTCTTCATCTGTAACCTCTGAATCATCCTTTACACATACACAACAATAACATTTAACTATTTTTACATCTACTTATAAAAATTTAAGTTTTTTCATGTAAAAAAAAACTCTCATAAATAAAAAATACCCGTATATCAGTTTATTTTATTAATATGATATTTATAAGTTTTTCCTTATTTCAACTTTGAAAAATATATTTCATTAAAACATAAATTGAACAAATTAATAAATAACTAATACAATAATTAAAATCATATTACAAATTGCAATTTCATAAGATTAATTATCAAACTTTTCATTAACAAAACTTACATTAATTAAATATGAACTAATGATCATAACTAATATAATCGTGTCTATTAATAATTTTGGAAATTTCCGTATTAATTAATGTATATTAGTTATCATTAAAAATCATAAATTATGCAAAATCGAGCAATTCTACCAAATTGCAATTTTGATTACTTCATTTTGATTTACAAAGTATAATAATTAAAAAATTTTCTGCATAATTAGCAACGAAAAATTAAATCTTACTAAATTAGCCAATATAGATTTAAAGTAAATTCTTTAAAGAGCTATAAGAATTCTAAATTAATCTTTAAAAAATGAAATATTCATTAAATCAACTCAGTTAAATCTCTGTTTTATATATATACATATAAACTAAATTAAACAGAGAATTAATTAATCAATAAATAGAAAATTAATTTAATTAGATTCAGTTTTAATTTTAATCTTTTTAAAATAAATATCTAAATTAAAAAATTACTTATATAATATAATTAATATATATTTATTTATCAAGAAATTTGTTCTTGCATTATCTTGCCATTTATTGTAAACTTTAATAATTACTATAAGACAATATCAATGAATAATTTGATTTAGTTTAAACATAAAATAATGTGAAATAAATATTTTATATCATTTAATTTGGTTAATTTATTTCACATTCAGTAACTTAAGAAAAAGTTCTTTCTTCTAAAATAATTATTAAATTAAACAAAACATATTCAAAATAATTTACATAAAAATTATCAAGTAAAATTAAAAGCTGAATAAGGAAAGTGTGGAACAGGATTTTATAAATTTTAAACAAATGCTTGAGGTTCTTTCAAATTAACTTTTATAAAAAAGAAATTTCATAATACTTGAAATATCATTTATTCTGTATGTAAAATACAAAAGAATTTTGAATATTTTACTAATAAAAATCCAATATAAAAAAAATTAAATCCATTAATAATAATAATAATATAGTTTACAGAGTTGTATATATTATTATATTTCATGTATTAACTCACCATCAATTATTATTAATATTATTATTATTATTATTATTATTATAAGTGTGATCTAAATATAAACTCAAGTATAAATCACATCCTGCCAAAGAAAGAAATCGCAATATTCTACCCATTAAAACTACAGTAACACATTTATTTTGCATTCTAGTGGGACTCTTAATCTTATCTAGAGAACAGTTAATTTTAATCATGTCAAATATTCAGCCACTCGGTTCATATAGGTACATGTAACATGATTAAAATTAAACGTTCTCGAGATAAGGTTAAGAGTCCTGTTAGAAGCCGGGTCAAGTGTATCCTGGTACCTTGGATAGTTAGAATATTTGGCATGCTATTAAAGGACATGTTATATATTTATTACACCATTATAAACAAATTCTTCATACTAACAAAATATATTCATTTATTTAATAAATGATTTCTTTCTAACAATTTATAGAATCTAGGAATAACATCAGTTTCCTGAAAATTGTAAATATAATTATAAGATTAATTTTTTAACAAGATGAAAGGAAATATATTGTTTATAATTACACTTCATCCAACATTTAATTATTTTTATGATTAATTAAATATGAATCCAGTATTTAAACAATAAATTGTAGACAAAATTTGTGAAATAACATATTGAAAATTTATGAAGCTAACTAAACGACAATTAAGAAGTATAATAAAATATATTTCAAACTTTGGTATATTCTGACTTATTATATTTTATTAACATAGTTATAATTATAAATGAGCCAACAGATAATAATATTATGAGTTAAATACCAATTAATTTAATAATTAAAACACAATTAAGTTAACGTATAGAAGGTAGTCATTGCCATTATCACTATTTTATTAGAAAATGTTTGTTTTTGAAATAATTTCAGTTTAATTCAAATGAAACATTTACATTTTCAGGAAACTGATGTTTGATGTCAAATTTTTTAAATTTTGCCTTAATAATTAACCATTTAATTCATTTACAACGTTATTAAAAGTTTTCATATTATCTTATATTTTTATTAAGCTATCTTCAAATAATCATAACAACAACTTAAATAAATCAATAGAACAAGAATATTTCATAATATAAAGGAATTTTTTCAATTTATTATTATTTTTTTAAGAGGCTAAGTTAAGAAAAAGATTTCTTGGTTCAAATTGCTAACAGCTGTTTGCTAATGGAAAAATAATTTAATTTTTATTTGTATTCATATCAAAAATTAATTTGAAAGAAGCCCTTATTAATATAAAAATTATACTTTTGATAGAATCTGTTTTATAAAATAAAAAGTTTTAATGCCACATTGCTTAATATAAAATTGATTCATGTAATATGACATATTGATTTCTTAAGTCCTTGTATTGAATTAAAATTTCATTACAAGGACTTAAGATTCAATACCTTACTGAAGCTCTGAGTTTCAAAATTATGCATAAAGTTAATTAGTTATTAAGTTTATAATTAAAATTGTCAAATAACCAACTCAAATAAAATATATTCTACTGTAGAAAAGTTATACAAACAAATGATTTTGTTTGCCTAGACAATGACATTTCAATGAGGCTAAATTATTCTAATTATTTAAAATTATCATAACTTGAATAACTGTTTATTTGCAAGTATTCATATAATTGTTTAAATTTATAATTTACTGCTTATTATATTACTTTAATTTAGGATTTATTAACTTTTATTAGATGAATTTATTTCTAAAACTTAATTTTTCAAAATAAAATTATACTATTAATGCAAAACAAGTCATTTATTTGGTGGGAAAAAATTTTTAATTTCTCAAGATTAAATTCTATTTATTATTTATTATTATTATTATTATAAATTTTTCATTATATATTATTTATTCAAAGTTTAAATATTTATTTTTGAAATTATCTTTGTGAAATAAAGATCTTGAACTTAATCAAGTGTGAGTAAATAAGTCAAAGTATTATCAATAACTTCTCTTAATCACCAAAAATATTCTAATAAAAATATTTGTTTACTATTTATAAATAAATTCTAATAAAAAATCTTCATTATATTTTCTCACTCATTAATATTGAAATAATTACAAATTAAATAATGTTTTAAATTTTCTACAATAAACTTTTTTAAGCCAATTCATAATAATAAAAATTCTCTTCCAAAAAAAAACAAAAAAAAAAAAGAAAATCTAGCAATGAGTTGCATAACTTTCCTGGCTGCTATGAGATTTTGCTATAAAAATTTTCTATATTTTTTAATTATTATAAAATGGCAAAAGTCTTAATTTTGAATTTTATAAAAAACTGTAAATGCTAACAAGAAAAATCTTAAGTCCAACCCCACTCAAGATATGACACATGACCTTTCTATCTCCCCACCACCTCAACCTTTCACAACCAAAATTTAATAGCATCAATGCCCTTTATACACAAACTATCATGCCAAATTTTGTTTCTTAATTTTCACCCCATCTTGAGATATTAAACAAAATATAGAGCAACACTCACACACACATACACAGAATTTTTTTGCCATTTTTGAGTTCAGGAGGTCTCAAATTGTGGAGATTTGCAAAAAATTTGGAGGGTCAAATTTGACACAATTCCAATACTTTCCCTTGTTAAGTATACATAACAGCTGGGAAAGTAAAAAACAAAAAGATTAATATTTATCATTACAGCAAGAATTAATCGAATAATAAGTAAGCTAGAAACTGAATGGTAAAAGCAGAAAGATACGAATACTTCTTATATTTTATTTAAAATTGATATGTACTTACCATATTTCTCATATCAGCTTGTTTAAAACTACCTTGATAAAGAAATTTAAGTTTAAAGACAATATTAAATAAATGTAATGTAATAATTATTAAATTAATCATTATAATAAAACAAATATACCTGAATTGAAATCAGATTTTCTTTGAAATCTAATATTTTCCATCTTTGTTTTAGATGGAGATGTATGATCTAACTTTTGTCTTGATCTTTTCAATTCCTATATTTATTAATTGAATTAATGAGTTAATTATTTGTAATTAATTGTGTGTTTAATTAATAATATTTTCATTGATTTAATCTTTAGCTAGACACAAACTGTTACGATTTCAACAATTTTATGACAAGAAAATTATTTTAAAATATTTTGAAATTATTCCTTTTTTAAACCTTTGAAACAAATAAATTTTACTTTATTCTCAAGGTCAAAATGAGTAATTTTTTTAATATCTCTAGAAAAATATTATTTTAGACAAAATTTGTGAAATAACATATTGAAAATTTATGAAGCTAACTAAACGACAATTAAGAAGTATAATAAAATATATTTCAAACTTTGGTATATTCTGACTTATTATATTTTATTAACATAGTTATAATTATAAATGAGCCAACAGATAATAATATTATGAGTTAAATACCAATTAATTTAATAATTAAAACACAATTAAGTTAACGTATAGAAGGTAGTCATTGCCATTATCACTATTTTATTAGAAAATGTTTGTTTTTGAAATAATTTCAGTTTAATTCAAATGAAACATTTACATTTTCAGGAAACTGATGTTTGATGTCAAATTTTTTAAATTTTGCCTTAATAATTAACCATTTAATTCATTTACAACGTTATTAAAAGTTTTCATATTATCTTATATTTTTATTAAGCTATCTTCAAATAATCATAACAACAACTTAAATAAATCAATAGAACAAGAATATTTCATAATATAAAGGAATTTTTTCAATTTATTATTATTTTTTTAAGAGGCTAAGTTAAGAAAAAGATTTCTTGGTTCAAATTGCTAACAGCTGTTTGCTAATGGAAAAATAATTTAATTTTTATTTGTATTCATATCAAAAATTAATTTGAAAGAAGCCCTTATTAATATAAAAATTATACTTTTGATAGAATCTGTTTTATAAAATAAAAAGTTTTAATGCCACATTGCTTAATATAAAATTGATTCATGTAATATGACATATTGATTTCTTAAGTCCTTGTATTGAATTAAAATTTCATTACAAGGACTTAAGATTCAATACCTTACTGAAGCTCTGAGTTTCAAAATTATGCATAAAGTTAATTAGTTATTAAGTTTATAATTAAAATTGTCAAATAACCAACTCAAATAAAATATATTCTACTGTAGAAAAGTTATACAAACAAATGATTTTGTTTGCCTAGACAATGACATTTCAATGAGGCTAAATTATTCTAATTATTTAAAATTATCATAACTTGAATAACTGTTTATTTGCAAGTATTCATATAATTGTTTAAATTTATAATTTACTGCTTATTATATTACTTTAATTTAGGATTTATTAACTTTTATTAGATGAATTTATTTCTAAAACTTAATTTTTCAAAATAAAATTATACTATTAATGCAAAACAAGTCATTTATTTGGTGGGAAAAAATTTTTAATTTCTCAAGATTAAATTCTATTTATTATTTATTATTATTATTATTATAAATTTTTCATTATATATTATTTATTCAAAGTTTAAATATTTATTTTTGAAATTATCTTTGTGAAATAAAGATCTTGAACTTAATCAAGTGTGAGTAAATAAGTCAAAGTATTATCAATAACTTCTCTTAATCACCAAAAATATTCTAATAAAAATATTTGTTTACTATTTATAAATAAATTCTAATAAAAAATCTTCATTATATTTTCTCACTCATTAATATTGAAATAATTACAAATTAAATAATGTTTTAAATTTTCTACAATAAACTTTTTTAAGCCAATTCATAATAATAAAAATTCTCTTCCAAAAAAAAACAAAAAAAAAAAAGAAAATCTAGCAATGAGTTGCATAACTTTCCTGGCTGCTATGAGATTTTGCTATAAAAATTTTCTATATTTTTTAATTATTATAAAATGGCAAAAGTCTTAATTTTGAATTTTATAAAAAACTGTATATGCTAACAAGAAAAATCTTAAGTCCAACCCCACTCAAGATATGACACATGACCTTTCTATCTCCCCACCACCTCAACCTTTCACAACCAAAATTTAATAGCATCAATGCCCTTTATACACAAACTATCATGCCAAATTTTGTTTCTTAATTTTCACCCCATCTTGAGATATTAAACAAAATATAGAGCAACACTCACACACACATACACAGAATTTTTTTGCCATTTTTGAGTTCAGGAGGTCTCAAATTGTGGAGATTTGCAAAAAATTTGGAGGGTCAAATTTGACACAATTCCAATACTTTCCCTTGTTAAGTATACATAACAGCTGGGAAAGTAAAAAACAAAAAGATTAATATTTATCATTACAGCAAGAATTAATCGAATAATAAGTAAGCTAGAAACTGAATGGTAAAAGCAGAAAGATACGAATACTTCTTATATTTTATTTAAAATTGATATGTACTTACCATATTTCTCATATCAGCTTGTTTAAAACTACCTTGATAAAGAAATTTAAGTTTAAAGACAATATTAAATAAATGTAATGTAATAATTATTAAATTAATCATTATAATAAAACAAATATACCTGAATTGAAATCAGATTTTCTTTGAAATCTAATATTTTCCATCTTTGTTTTAGATGGAGATGTATGATCTAACTTTTGTCTTGATCTTTTCAATTCCTATATTTATTAATTGAATTAATGAGTTAATTATTTGTAATTAATTGTGTGTTTAATTAATAATATTTTCATTGATTTAATCTTTAGCTAGACACAAACTGTTACGATTTCAACAATTTTATGACAAGAAAATTATTTTAAAATATTTTGAAATTATTCCTTTTTTAAACCTTTGAAACAAATAAATTTTACTTTATTCTCAAGGTCAAAATGAGTAATTTTTTTAATATCTCTAGAAAAATATTATTTTATCCTGCATTTTAGATGAATATTTTAAATACAGTGTCTTCCGAAAATAATTCTATCATTTCAAATTATTGTAATTATGTATTGACCTTGAACTGGATTATTGTAAATACTTAAAGACAAAAACGTATTCCAGCAAATATTTTTAATTCATTTAACGCTTTCGGCTATCTGTGTAGCCATCATCAGGATCGATCATAGTTTGCTCCTGATGATGGCTACACAGATAGCCGAAAGCATTAAATGAATTAAAAAATATTTGCTGGAATAGGTTTTTGTCTTTAAGTATTGTAATTATGTTAATTATTATCTGAGAAGCATATGATTTACCCCATCAATTGATGTACAGTACATGTCCTAGTTTCATCTACCATCTGCATTGAAATGCCTTTTTGTCTACTGCCTCTAGGAAGTGCCATAAACAAAAATGTGAACAACTCCATTACAGAGAAGGTATTTTGTGTTCTGCAGTTTACAAAGTCAGAATTGATCATCATTGTACAACATAATTTTTGAGTTTGCAGACAATTTCAAAAAGTGACCACCATGTAGGCAAACAATATTGTTGCACAATGATGAGGGATTCCAATTTTGCTGACTGCAGAACACAAAATACCTTCTCTGTTGTAGGAGTCAGCACTTTTGTTTATGATGCCTCCTAGATGCAGCAGACAAAAAGACACTTGTATGCAGATGGTAGATGAAACTTGAACAGTTACTCTATTGGTATACAATGTATATTTCTCAAGTAATAATTAACATAATTACAGTAATTTAAAACTAGCATTCTTTTTGGAAGACCCTGTATATAATTTAAATTTCCAATATTTTTATATAAACAATAAATCCACAAACCCAATTTTTAATTAATGCCAAATGATCTGCCATATAATAAGGTTAATTAGCCTTATTATAGTCTGATAATATAGCACAGGGGTGTCCAGCCTGCGGGCCGCATGCGGCCCAAGGCAAGTTCCAATGCGGCCCAATAAATGTGTAAACAAAACCGAAAAATTGTTTTATTTTTGTTTTATTTATTTATTTCGACAGCATAAACTCAAAAAAGAAGTTTCACAAAGCCGTAAACTTTTATACATATTTAATTTTTGAGCGAAAAGGAAATATTTTCAAATACCTGGAGATGTGTGAATGACGAAGAAATACTGAATAAAGCTGAAGTTGTGACTCAAAGGAGTATAGACCCAAATTTGAAAAAAGGAGAGAAAGGCCAAAAGAAAAAAAGTGGTGAAAAAGGTTAAATAGACTTTTGTTATGCAAATATCGACTTTAATTTTCCAATCTTCCTCACTACTTTTATCTTTCGGCCTTTCTCTACTTTTTCTCAAATTTGGGTCTATAATCCTTTAAGTTCCAACTCCAGCATTATTTAATATTCTTTCCAGCATTGCAA